AAATGTGTGTGCTGCAATGTCAGAGCCCTTCTTGGAACAAATTCCTCATGCACAAGGAAGTGCCTGATGCTCTGTATTACCTTGTATGTCATGCATCCTTTTTCTAACTTGGGCCCTGTGTCGCTGGCCTCTTTCAATAAGCAAAATGCCAGCCTGCAAACTATTGTTTTCTGGGAGCTGTGGGTAGGGAAGGGCTGAAGGGGTCTTTGTTTTCTTCCTGGTTAGGTAGTTTGACAGTGGGAGCACACAGATGGAAGACAGGCTTTCAACTGAGACCATGGTTTGTATATGTTAGCAGAATTGGAGTCAAGCACCAAGGATAAACTGAAGACTGCAAATCTCTATCTAAGTTGCTCCCTGAGTGTGTGAGCTGAGCTCTGGGATGGTGGAAAGGCTCTTGAATTCTGCAGCAGCAGAAATTCCTGCAGGAAAAAAAATAAATTTGTTGTTTCTAGATTCTGTAATGTGCTGTAACCATTCCTTGTCAAAAGGAGTATTAACATTCAAATGGCATAGATTTCTACAGGCCCAAATCTTTACCTCAAGGATTTCTTTTACCTATGATGCAGATTAAAGGCATAAGAAACAACTTTCCTGAGCTGCCAATATGGGTACTTTCTGATGAATTAGAACATCATTAAGAAAAGAGGAACATGTATTGTTCAGCTGCACTGATCTACATAGCAGAAATCACATCACATCTGCCACTCCCCTTAGCACAAATTCATGCACAGGCTTGTAACAACCCTTCTTGGAGAATCTCCCACTTCTTTTGCAATTTCAAGTGCACAGATGGGCATATCTGCCTCAGTGTGCACATGAGGTCTTCATCATGTATCACAAGTGACCTTACATCTCTCTCTGAGACCCAGCCCAGTAGCTCAACTACACCCCACCCTCCTATTTCTGTGACCAAATCTTTGTCCCTTGTCCCATCTTGCCATGCATGTGACTCTCAGTCACCAGCACTATCACACTGCAGGACCCAGATTACTCCCTTACTTTCAGGATCTTACCAGCACATCTGTCAAATACTTTTAGTAATACTTCCCTCTTAGTAGCCTGCCTAATGTGTTGCTCTTAGGCATTTCTTACAAGCTTCACATCATCAACAGGGGAAGCTAAAAGCTGACATTCCTATTGTACAGCTGGGATAGCTGAGGCACAGACATACCAAGCAATCCACCCGGGGTCATACAGTGAGTCGGTGGGAAAGCCAGCAATAGAATCCATAAGTCCTGAATCCAAGTTCTCCAAGTGCTTTGACTTGTCCGGATTCCCTCCTTAACACCCTTGTCACATTATTTATAGGAGCTGTATTCATATAGTCAGTAAGACATCAAAATTTTCTAATTATATCTAGTCATGTCAAATGACAATTATGCCCTTAGTTCAGTTTGCCAGACAATGCTTAGCCAAAGAATGTTTGCCAAAAATGTTTTGACCGAAGAAAGAGGAGGCATCTGTAGCATCTGCAGACGAGATCGTATAAAACGTCCCCGCGACACGTCTGCCCTGGCTCCAGGGAAAGCTCCAAGGTAGGTGAGGGGGGTCTGCAGGCTGGCAGGAAGGGATGGTGCCCTTATGTGCCACGACATTCCTGCTGCTTCCAGTGTTCGTCTCCAGGAGGAGACTCCATTATAAACCTGCTCTCAAGGCATCTAGACGTTTTCACTCTGGATTTCTGTGCAGTAGCAATGAGGGAACTGCCATTTCTGTTTTACAGCACTGACCAGCTGCCAGCCTGCAAGCCACCCATCTGGTGTCACAGGAGGTAAGAACCTGATTTACTGATTCTTAGAGGGCAGAGACAGAAGGTGGGGTTTCTGTTTGGCTGAGTGAATGGTCATAGTTTCACCCTATATTTTCAAGTACACTGTAGTCAACAGTAGAGGATGGTGGGTGCCTAAGACTGGTAAGGTTTTCAAGGGAATCGTTGAATCATAGAACAGCCCAGGTTGTAAGGGACCTCAGAAGATCATCTGGTCCATTCTTAAGGTGGCTGTGTTTGAAGTCTCTGACTACTCATGGCAGACCAGGAAATCCCCATGGGGACATTCTTTACTTCTGCTTAACTCCCCTAGCAGGCAGTGAGGTGCACTGCCTTCCCATCATTGCTGGTGCAGCAGTAGAATTTGACCAAGAAGAACACCGTAGGAAAAGTGTAAAATTCAATATTTTGTCTCAGAACATGTGAATTAATGTGATGTTTTGTCCAAAATTTGCCATGGAATCACTAAAGCAGTAAGAGTAGAAAGAGCTGTAATGTGAGCAACCAAGATCTGATTGTCACCTGTGTAAAACACAGCACTGCTATTTGTCCCCTGTGCTGCTCTGCCTGGTCTCTGACTCAAAAAATGGAAGCTGCAGCTCTCCTCCTCTGGAAGCCACTACCTGTTCCTCCAGACACAAATAAAGAATTATCCTGTTATTCTCTCATTTTAGTACAAATGTAGCACAATATTATTGTGTAAATATCAGGTACCTAACTCCATATAGAAAGAGATATGCAAATGTTTTCCTAAGCTGCCTACTGTTTTGTTTTTTGTTTTTTTTTTTTTCTCAGAGTGAGGGGGAAGGACAGGGGGAAGAAAAAAACAGTTCAGAGAAATTAATACTGGTTTTAAAATTCCTTATTTTTAAATTTCTGATTTGAGCTTTGAAACTTTGTGTTGTAAACTTTGTGTTTTAAAAAGCAAAAGGAAGTACTAGAAAAGGAGCTATCTCAGTGTGGTCTGAAAAGGTATTGCTCTTCTTTTTGCATTTGGTATTGTTGCAATTTATGCCTGGATTCAAGAAGTCAATAAAATTAGTAAAAAATTGTATTTTTAATACAATTATAAAAATGTTTTAAATACTGAAACTAAGCCACTGAGAAGCTTGAGTTTTCAGTATGATATTCCAAACAGTGAAGTATAAGCATTCTAAGCTTTGTGAATTAGTATCACTTGGGAGGAAATAGCATTATAATAATTTCAAATTAATTTTAGGAATGCCTAAGCAGTTGAAAGGATTTTTGAGGTCCTTTATTACACAGTACATTCCCTGAATACCAAATACTAAGTTATGGGTTATTTTAAATGTGATTTCAGCACAAGCCAAATAATTTCCCAGAATATAATTTTCACATTTTCCATAACTGTTGAAATCCACCAAAGCAAAAATATTCAATTCCTTCCAAAAGGCTATTAAGGGTATCAATATAGTTTCTTTCCCCCCACATCTTTTATTCTACTAAAAAGTGCTTATTTTGGACAAAATTGAGCAATATATCTGCTCTTCCACAGTGTTCTCTGCTGACAAGCCTCTCCACAAAGTGCAGCCATGTCTTCGGATTCCGAGATGGCCATTTTTGGGGAGGCGGCTCCTTACCTCCGGAAGTCAGAGAAGGAGAGAATCGAGGCTCAGAACAAGCCTTTCGATGCCAAGTCATCCGTCTTTGTGGTACATGCAAAGGAATCCTTCGTGAAAGGGACAATCCAGAGCAGGGAATCAGGGAAAGTCACTGTCAAGACTGAAAAGGGAGAGGTGAGTGAAAAACAAGCCTGAAGGACAACATTTTCTTCCCACTCTGGGTTCTTAGCTGACATCCATGCATGTCCTCTGACAGACCCTGACTGTGAAGGATGATCAGATCTACTCCATGAACCCTCCCAAGTACGACAAAATTGAGGACATGGCCATGATGACCCACCTCCACGAACCCGCTGTGCTGTACAACCTCAAAGAGCGTTATGCAGCCTGGATGATCTACGTAAGTGGCAGCAGCAGCTTCCTCTGGGCAGCTGGAGGAACTGCTCTGCCAGGCCCAGGGGAAGCCAACGTGCTGTGTCCCTTCCTCACAGACCTACTCGGGTCTCTTCTGCGTCACTGTCAACCCCTACAAGTGGCTGCCCGTGTACAACCCGGAGGTGGTGTTGGCCTACCGAGGCAAGAAGCGCCAGGAGGCCCCTCCACACATCTTCTCCATCTCTGACAACGCCTATCAGTTCATGCTGACTGGTGAGTGGCTCTGTCTATCTCAGAGATCTTGGACCATTAAATTCTCAGCAATATGAAGGGACTTTTTAAAAGCTTTCATGGTTCTAAAACACAATTCATATTGTGGGGTTTGCTATCTTCATAACATTGTTTCTACTCTTATAAAGGAAAGACACCTCTGCACACAGTGATGTGTTTTGGGTGTTTGTTTCTTTGTTTAAGTCAATCTGACATAAGGCAAAACATTTAACTTACCTAACCATGTTTCATTCTTTCTCTGTTGTTCATTGAGTTTTAAGTACTGTATTTCTGCCTCTTCCCCAGATCGGGAGAACCAGTCCATCCTGATCACGTACGTACACCCCCTGCTCGGGTCCCTGAGGGGCTGCCCAGGGCCAGGGCCCCTCCTGCCTGACCACACGCTCTCTGCTTCTCTCCTTGCTCTGACAGCGGAGAATCCGGTGCCGGGAAGACTGTGAACACAAAGCGTGTCATCCAGTACTTTGCAACAATTGCAGCCAGTGGGGACAAGAAGAAGGAGGAGCAGACATCAGGCAAAATGCAGGTAAATCAATAGACACATGCTGGCACCAATGCTTTCCTCTGTTCCTGACATGATTTTTGGAAAGGATAACCATCAATAATTTTCCCCCTGCAGGGAACGCTTGAGGATCAAATCATCAGCGCCAACCCACTGCTGGAGGCCTTTGGAAACGCCAAGACCGTGAGGAACGACAACTCCTCGCGCTTTGTGAGTTGCTTAACAAAATGATTCCTCAAACATAGGAAATAGAAGTTTATGTCAGTTATCCTTTTCTGTTGTTCAGGAAGGAAGGAAGGAAGGAATGGGAGAGAGTTTCTAATTTAATATAGTAGCTTTATCTCAAATTTATTTAACCACAAGTGAAATTGTCTATTAGCAATACAGATTTAAGCAGCTGAACTACTTAAATTGCTGTTTTCGTATCATTAGGGCAACTGCTCTCTGTGTGCAGCATATCGTTAGAATAGTTTCTCTAATGAAACCCACACATTCTTTCACATTTGTACATTCAACCTACACAAAATATAGTTTTGCCACTGTTGATTATTTTTTGGTCAAAAATGAAAAAGACAACTTTATGTTAATAGTGGAATGTCTCTAAGTAGAAATCTTGTGCCCCGTGGAATAAATGGAAGAACTCTTCATTTCAGTGATATTTTTTATGTTGTAAATCCTAAGACACTTTAATTCCTTTAAAGGGCAAATTCATCAGAATTCATTTTGGTGCCACAGGAAAACTGGCTTCTGCAGATATTGAAACATGTAAGACACTTTCCTGAACAATCCATCTACTCACCTGTCTATCCATAAAACATCTTTTCATCCAAATATCTATCCTGCCTTCCCTGTTTTTCTTCCCGTCTTCTTTTTACTTTCTTTTTTTTTCCTGTTTCTTCTTTTTTCTAACTAAAATTTTTTCTCCAGATCTGCTGGAGAAGTCCAGAGTCACTTTCCAGCTCAAGGCAGAAAGAAGCTACCACATCTTTTATCAGATCATGTCCAACAAGAAGCCAGAGCTAATTGGTAGGAAGAATTAATAACTGGAGGAAGACTGCTGAACACCGTTACTTGCTTGACTAAAATAAGCCTGTATATCCCCTCTTACTTTCAGACATGCTCCTCATCACCACCAACCCATATGACTATCAATTTGTGAGTCAAGGTGAGATCACTGTTCCCAGCATTAACGACCAGGAGGAGCTCATGGCCACAGATGTGAGTACCAATTAAGAACATTGTACCTATTGTCATCTCTCCAAGACAAAGCTTTTATTTTACTGTTCCTGGTGCAGAGTGCCATTGACATCCTGGGCTTCAGTGCTGATGAGAAAACAGCCATCTACAAGCTGACAGGGGCCGTCATGCACTATGGGAACCTGAAGTTCAAGCAGAAGCAGCGTGAGGAGCAGGCAGAACCTGATGGCACTGAAGGTATCAGCAAAATCTTTGGCTGACCTATTAGAATAGAAGTAGCAATAGTAATTCAATAATTGGAAGATGGAGAAAGAAAATGGTACAGATGTGTTTAAGTGAAATAGTATATAGGCATGAAACTGCCATCTAAAATACAGCCTTTTTTTGATTACTGCCTAATCATTATCTGCAATATCAATTGCATATATGCCCATAAATCTCTCCTGAGCTACCACTCTGAATTAGCACAGCCTGCTCAGTGTGTTCAAACCCACTGAGAAGGGAAAGATTTTTAAAAAACTTGTTTCAGGTTGATCTTTAAAGAAAATGGAGGGATTATATTGAGTATTAGGACTTCTACTTCATAAACCACTTATTATCTAGGGTAAAATTGCTAATGAATACTAGTATGAATTTTAATAAGTACATTGCTTCTAGATGCTTCTTTTAAGACTTTTTAAGTTTCAAAATAAAGATTTTTTTTTTTAATAACTATGTCATGGCTCCTCTGAGATCCAGTAAGCAGAATTTGGTCACAGGGACATTCAATATTGCAGCTGTTTTGCAAAGGGTTCATCACTCAAAGTGCTGCATGTCATATTAATTTTTCTATCTTCTTGTCCTTCTACTTAGTTGCTGACAAGGCTGCCTACCTGATGGGTCTGAACTCAGCAGACCTGCTCAAGGCCCTCTGCTACCCCCGAGTCAAGGTGGGGAATGAATACGTGACCAAGGGCCAAACAGTGCAGCAGGTAGGAAAAAAAGAATAATCTGGAACATGCTTTGATGGTTGGTGTTGATTCTCCTCTGCTGTGTGTAGTAACCTCCAAACCTTTCTCTGTGCTTTAGGTGAACAATTCAGTGGGTGCCCTGGCAAAGGCTGTCTATGAGAAGATGTTCCTGTGGATGGTTGTTCGCATCAACCAACAGCTGGACACGAAGCAGCCCAGGCAGTACTTCATTGGTGTGCTGGACATTGCTGGCTTTGAGATCTTTGATGTAAGGATTCCAGTTTTGAGGACTACTCTTGCAGGGAGAGATTGTTATATCCGAGGACTTGCAAGCGATGTTCCTCTGAAGGCTTAACATGCTAGTCATTTGCAACTTTATGGGGAAAAAAATCCCATCATTTTCCTTTATTGCAGAGAGCAAAATCCTCAAAAGAATTTTATGCATTATGATATAACAGTTTGAGCTTAACTTTAGAGATTAAATAAACCAACATAATTACAATAATTTTATAGAAGAGCTTCTAGAGCAGAACTAGGAGACCCATTGACAAATATAGCACAGAATCACAGAGTATTCTGAGTTGGAAAGCACCCACAAAGATCATTGAGTCCAGCACTGAAGCTAATGGCCCATATGGGGATCAAACCCATGACCTGGGTATTATTAGCACCATGCTCTAACCAACTGAGCTAATAACAGGTTAAAGATGTGTAAATTGTTTTAAGAACCAAGGAATGTGAACCAGAGAGATCAAGTTTTTAAATTTGGAGACAAGAGCACACCTTCTCTGAAGAGCACACCTTTTTGGCTGAATAAAAAATTGCCAAAGTATTTTATGATTTTTAGTAGATTCACTAGGAATATCTGCTCTGAAATAAACCCCCATTTTCATTATGTAGGTATTTCTTTGTGAAGCTGCATATAGATCCAGTTATGGTATGGTTGTGATAATACAGTTGTGTTTTAACTGAGAAGATTGATAAAGGCATGATCAAGAACTGTGCATGTTGACGAGGGTTGGTTGTTGTGGGGTTTTTCCACCGCGCAGTTCAACAGCCTGGAGCAGCTGTGCATCAACTTCACCAATGAGAAACTGCAACAGTTCTTCAACCACCACATGTTCGTGCTGGAGCAGGAGGAGTACAAGAAGGAGGGAATTGAATGGACATTCATTGACTTTGGGATGGACCTGGCTGCCTGCATTGAGCTCATTGAGAAGGTACATTTTGACTTGTAAATGTCTTGCATTTTCAGGAACACATTATTTTAAGTTTCCCCTTTTAGTTTCTTAGTTTTAGTTGTTGAAATATGTCTTTATCTGTTGCTAATTATGCATAATAGATATTACAAAGTCCAGAGAAAACTGTAGAAGTAATTCTTTCACATTCTCTACATGGAAGGTATCTCCATTTGCTTGATTAAAGTATATTATCTCCAAAAACACAGAGCAGCTCCTACAGTAACATGAAAATATTTTCTTAAGATTCTGGAATAAAGTTATCTGAACAATACATTTTTTTCCTGTATGGTTCATAGCAAGGTAAGGACCATTAAGGTCCTTAGCAAGTCCATAGCAAGTCCTTAGCCTGTCCATAGCAAGTAAGGACAGGCCAACACAGTCAATGCCTGATGTCTGAGAGCAAGAAACTGAGATTTTTTGTAGTACCATATAATTTAGGGAATTGATTGAAAGTTCAAAAGCAGAAGTAAATATGCAATGCATAATAAATATGCAAAATAGTTCACATTTGTGAAAACTATTTTTCAATATATTTTTTCTCCTCCCGATCTTTAACATGGTTTCTGGAATAAAAACCATTCCTAAATCACTGTGACAAAGTATGAGTCAAGCAGGTGAATCTTTTAAACTCACTTTTCAGAAAGAAATGTTCTTAATAGCAAAGTTTGTTTCTCAGCTTACTGTCTTTTACTATCTTCCTTTTGAAACCAAGTCATAGTCATGTTATTCTACAGGCAGTCTCTCTTTTTTATTGAACTATCTTCCAGCCCATGGGCATCTTCTCCATCCTGGAAGAGGAGTGCATGTTCCCCAAGGCAACTGACACCTCTTTCAAGAACAAGCTCTATGACCAGCACCTGGGCAAGTCCAGCAACTTCCAGAAGCCCAAACCTGCCAAAGGCAAGGCTGAGGCCCACTTCTCCCTGGTGCACTACGCTGGCACAGTGGACTACAACATCACTGGGTGGCTGGAGAAGAACAAGGACCCCCTGAATGAAACTGTCATTGGGCTGTACCAGAAATCATCTGTCAAGACCCTGGCTTTACTTTTTGCTTCCTATGGTGGAGCAGAAACAGGTTATTTTTTCGTTTTCTTTTTCAAGCTTTGTGATACTTAAAGATGCAATAAAAAATAATATATCTAAAAATTCTTTTTTTTTTCTTTTTTTTTTTTTTTTAAGAGGCTAGTGGTGGTGGTGCTGGTGGTGGAAAGAAGGGTGGCAAGAAGAAGGGTTCTTCTTTCCAGACTGTCTCAGCTCTTTTCCGGGTAAAGGATGGATTCATTGTCTATAAAGTGAAATGAACACAGCGTCAAATCTGAGCTATATACACTTGGGTTCTCCTTCTGACATTTCTTGAATGAAGAACAATAATAAGTATGAAGTGCTTTTTTCTAGTAGTTTTCTGTTCAAATTTAGGATCCAGTCTTCATTTGATCCTCTGACTTTCTAATAGGAGTTCACTCACATTCTTTTTGAAAAACATTTTTCAGAATCTGGCATGTAATGGAAGTATTAATCTCCAAAAGGCTTGTCATAAAATATTTGCAGAGTATTATTTTACTTCCTCCAAAATAAGGTGAAAAATTTTAAACTCCTTTATGAGAATATTTTTAATGAAAAGTACATAGAAGATTTATTTAAATCTAAATTTTGAATTTGAAAGCTTCTTTTTCCTAAGATCCATTATATTAGTTCCTTGGCATCTAGGTACAAAGCATGCAGAAGCAAATTTCTTTAATCTAAGCTGCAGCATGTGATCATGTGTTCCCACAGGAGAACTTAAACAAGCTGATGACCAATCTGCGGAGCACTCACCCCCATTTTGTGCGCTGTATCATCCCCAATGAGACCAAAACACCTGGTAAGATGCTCAAGTAGGAAGAGGGTTTGCTCTGACATCCATTCCCCTCCACACTGGAATCCGTGCCACTCCTTTGTGCTCTGCTCTGCCTTGCTCAGGTGCCATGGAGCACGAGCTGGTGCTGCACCAGCTGCGCTGTAACGGCGTGTTGGAAGGGATCAGGATTTGCAGGAAAGGGTTCCCCAGCAGAGTCCTCTATGCTGACTTCAAACAGAGGTAAGAGCACTGCACTTCTCAGCATCATTAAAAGTGTTGTTGGTCCATTCATAGGTCCATTCAGTCTGTTGTCAAAAATAGCTATATATGAGCTGGCGGGGTTTAGTGGCTCCTGTGCGTTGGTTGGGAAAAAGTAGCCTTCTCTTCCTCTTTTCACAGATACAAGGTGCTTAATGCCAGTGCCATCCCAGAGGGACAATTCATCGACAGCAAGAAGGCTTCCGAGAAGCTCCTTGGCTCAATCGATGTGGACCACACCCAGTACAAATTTGGACACACTAAGGTACAAACCCCCCATTCCCTCACTCACTCAGTGCCTGTGCTTTGCCCGGCCTGACAGTGATGTGCTGCAACATTCCCTCTCTAAGGTGTTCTTCAAAGCTGGGCTGCTGGGGCTCCTGGAGGAGATGAGGGATGAGAAGCTGGCACAGCTCATCACCCGCACACAGGCCAGGTGCAGAGGCTTCCTGATGAGGGTGGAGTACCAGAGAATGGTGGAGAGAAGGTACACATTCCTTGTCTTCAGTTAAACTCACTGTGCTTGAGGGAAAGTGTTGACACTTTTCAAACTGAAAATACTCATTGCACATCTGAATTATGCTTCAGAGAGTCCATCTTCTGCATCCAGTACAACATTCGTGCATTCATGAATGTCAAGCACTGGCCCTGGATGAAGCTGTTCTTCAAGATCAAGCCCTTGCTGAAGAGTGCAGAGTCTGAGAAGGAGATGGCCAACATGAAGGAGGAGTTTGAGAAAACCAAGGAAGAGCTTGCAAAGTCTGAGGCAAAGCGGAAGGAGTTGGAGGAGAAAATGGTGAAACTGGTGCAGGAGAAAAATGATCTGCAGCTCCAAGTGCAGGCTGTGAGTAACATTTTTCTATACCTTTCTTTATAGCGGAAATAGATAAATAAGATCTAACTCTTCTTTCCTACTATAGGACTCTCAAACTGCATACTAAGCTTTCTTATAAAATATTTTAAGCCTAATACC